CATCATTCCTGTCTGTGGATTTCTGTTTCCAACCAGGTTAACTTGAAACCAAATAGTGAAAAAACAAAAGCAAAAATAGCAAAGCATAAAAATTCAGCTGCTCTGGCGTTAATGTTCTGGGGCCTGGTCCCCTTCAGGAACCTCAGCCGAGATCGATGGCATTGTTTCAACATTCCTCTTTCTTCTCTCTTTCCTCAGTTATTCTTTTTGATTTCTTAACTTCCTTGATCTCAGTCTTAACTAATTCCTAAACCTCCCACACACCCATGCCTGGGCAGAAACAGTTTCTCCTTCCTGTGAACACTTTGATCTGCACCTCCCTGAAGATATCTCCATGCCACCTTCTGGAGGGTGCTATAGTTAGGTACTGATAATACTCACAATATACTTAGGGAAGCCCTACCTCCTTGCCACGAGCTCCCGGAGAGGAGGGAAAATACAGTTCCCTGGCTGGCGGTCAAATATTCCACAGCACTGAGCAGAGCGCCTACTATACATCGGATGAACGAATGAGTAAATGAAAATCTCCTTTGCAAAGCTATGAATTCTCCCAGTTAAAAAATTATGAAACAGCCTCTGTAGACATAGGAGGCAGCTTAAAAAAGAACAAGCCTATAAAATATTGTAGCTCTGAATATACTAAAAACATTTTATTTACTCATAGTATAAGAATGCTGGAAGGGTTTTATTCTTATTTACCTTTGGTCTGGTTCTTGCTTTTTTTTTTTTTTAAATCAGAGATCTGTAGACAATTGTTTTTATGGGAGCGGAGTAAAGGATGGATATTGGGATGAGCAAAAATGTAGAACTGTCCTTTTTTATCTAAAGCAATTACCACAAGGATAAACAGCTTTCTTCTTAATACAGTAATTCCATAAACAACAGCAGAATTCTTGGTGTCCCACCAGTGAGAAGTCTGCAGGGCAGTGCCGATGACATATATGGCCGGCTGCGAGAAACTACGGTTTACAAGCTAATTATTGTATAACAAGCTGGCTTTAGTTAGCTCTCTGAGAGGTTAAACAGAAGATTCAGAAAGAAAAAGTGTGCATTAGCATGGACATTTGTTAAATGCTGGTTACAAACAATAGTTGGAGAGAATTGAAAAAAAAAACAAGTTAGAAAAAAACCAGTTTATTAAGTAATATCATATAAATAACTTGTTACAAAAATTGATTTGCAAAAGGCATATTTACTCTTTGTGAGAAATCACTTTTTAAATTGCATTCTTTTCAAATTTATACGTCTAAGAAAAACAAAGGGAAATCAAAGAAGCCATTTCGAGGAGCGCGTATTTGCCATAGGACTACAACAAAAGGCCCGGCCACACTGAGCTAAAAAGTAATTGTCTCAACCCCTTTCTTCTAATACAGAAAACGTTTTCATGTAAACTGTGAAGTTATGAAAATCTCCCTAACTAGACATGTTGATGAAAGCTGAGCAGTGACGGTTTCCATCAGGTGTTCTCTCATTGCCAAAGACACAAGCAATACTGAGAAAAATGATATGGACTGAGCACGCCAGCCAGTAAATCTCCAAGGGTGGCATCAGCTTCAATTTATATTTGGGAGTATTTTTAATTAAAAACAATCGATACCCAAAAGCTTTTATTTTCTGGGTTTAAAAATCACAAATCACAGTAGGAGAATGCCAAATTGCCTTAGCTCGGTACTACTGAGGACGCATGTAGCATTTATGATAAGGCCTGTTCTGATGTGGTTTACTCTCAAAGCAATGAAAATAATCACGAACGAAACAGTACAGTGATTTTGAAGCGTTCCTCCTATGTCTCTTCTGAGCAGATCAGTTTTATGTTTGCCACAGCATTCCCTCTGAATGCCTAGTAATGCTATACATTTGATTCCTTAATAAACACTAAACTAATAGATCATAGAAAACTAAAAGCTTATAGAAGGTGCCTCTAGACATATTTACATAAATAGCATAGTCTCGCAAGAAAGACCAAGATCTCATTATAGTGGAATGCTTTTTCCACAGCGCTGGGCCCATGCCTCATTTGTCAAATTAACCCCATTTGAAGAGAAATTTGAGTTTGTGGTCCATGGGTTTAAAGAAAAAAAATAGAATTAAGTAACTTGTAAGAGCTCTTTTGAAATTAATCTAATAACCCAGTGTCTCTTCAGCTAAGTGCCTCGGTCCTGTCTGAAATACAGTGGGTAATAGGCTCTGTTTCCATCTGACCTCCTTTCGGCACTTTCATCTGCTGGCACTGTCGGGCTAATGTTCCCCCCAAATTAAAAAATGAAAATGCATCATAAATAAGGTATTACAAAATGGGGAGTAGATTAAAGATTGTCTCAGCAATGCTTAAATTAAATTGATGATGCAGAGACCATAAACTTGTGGCTTTAAAAATGAGCTATTTCTTTATTAACTTTTAACAAGTGTGTGAGTCAATGTATTTCTTTACTAAGAGGGTATTGCTCTCCACGTTAAATATGGTTGGCGCCTAATATATTTTAGTAGAGAATTATCCCTTTAGAAAATTATTCCATAAAGATGCCAAAGGGAGATTAAAAATGCTGCAACCATAATAGCACTGAACTTTTAAGGGGACCATACTGGAATTCTGTATTCTCTGGACAAGAAAGCTGCTTGTCAGACCTTAAGAAATAATTCATCTTTCTGAAGGTCCATACGCTAAGACTAAATCTTTCCACTCTTATAACCTGATCAAGAAGGCTGAGTTGTAGTTTTAATGTAAACACAGTAGACTGCTTAGATTTTTAATCCCCTGTCACAATTCAAAAAAAAGATTTCACCTAGATAAAAATGTAAAAAACAAAATTACACTAAAATGATCCTTTTCAGAGGATACCTTTCAAAATAGTGGGGATAGCAACTTTTTAGAGTGTTCTTCCAATGTAATTACACTACTTCAAAACTAGTGACTAGGATACAATAATTTATTTGGTGATTCAATTCCTGGGGAAAATACATCTACCTTTACCTGATTTAAATATTTAGTTTGTTCTCAGGAATCAACTCCGTTCTTTCCTTTCAACTGCATACTTTTTACGGACCTCAAGTATACAGAATTGAGGAATACACAATCATAGTTTATACATAATTATTTCTAATAAAATACCCATTGTCAGGGCAAAGCATTTAGTATACGGCATTGTTCAGCAAATTAAGACATCTAAAATTTATGTACTTGAAAACAAAAATAATGGAAACATTCTAAAGTAAATTTGGATCCATAACATTTGGATGCTTCTAAGATAAGGATTCAACTTTTAAGAACTTTTTGCACAACTTTTTGGGAGCTGAAAATGAAAACTAAACCACAAATTTTTATACTGAGTTAAAATTGAATTGCCATGTTTTGTTCCATCTGAACATGGAATCAATTTGTACCTGAACCTCCCTTTATGCACCTAAACCGTAAAGTTAAGAAGCTCTATAAAAAACATATATTTTCTGTGCCCATGTGCCCTCTCTTATGGTCTATGGAGCCATCTTTGCTTCTCCCCCATTTGATTTAGTTTTTTTATGTGGGGACACATAATTCAATCCTTTGAGCAGAAAGTGGCTGTGAAGTGAAGGGGCTTTAAATTTATGCATGATGGCTTAATATTTTTAAAATTCTAGCTCATTCCATTGAACACTTTTGTGTTTTGAAAAAATTCTCCCCTTTGAATAGAGGAAAAAAACCTTCCTGAAAACAAAACCCATAAAAGCAATCTGCTTACATTGAATGAGTTTTAGTTTTTCAGTGATTAAAGCAAATATTAAAATTTTTACCTCTTTCCACTTTCCATCTTTCTCATCACTAACATCTAATATCAGGACAGAGACAATGTGAAATGTGAACTGAAAACCAGTTGTTTTTCTCCATGATCGTTCACGCTGACCCTGCTCTTTGACCTGGTATCTCGGTAGGAAGGAAGTTAGGCCCGGACAGAATGTTGGAACTGTGGCCTTCATCATTTCCATGATGTCAGAGAGTCTTAATTATAGGAAAATATTACTCTCCCTTGATACATACAGGACCCTAGTGCCAACTATTCAGCACCAGTCTCAAATTATTCAATTTCTTAGAGATTCACTTCATTATCAGGTTTTGTGGTAAGAGGTTAAACAGTTATTTCAGTTCTTAGTCATATTAACCTGTTCTTGGTGTACTGTATAATCTTCAGGATAAAATACCCTACCAATTACATTTCAAATATTCCACTACAGAACTACAGACTTTCACTCATGAGGAGAGAATAAACCTTATCCTTAAATATTGGAAGTTGCCAGTGTCCACCCTCAGATATTCCAATTAACGCCAAACATTAAAAAGGAAGACTTCTAATGATAACTCTCTTTTTATAGGACTATCTTTCTTCATTCAATTGGTTGCATGACGTGAAACATAAGGATAGAGAACGCTTTAATTTTGCAGTAAGCCGTGTGATTAAGGTGCTGTTCTATTGCTATAAATAACTAGTTCTTAATGAACTTCACTAAACTATCCTTTTTGAATACTTACCTGTGACTGTGATATGTATCGATTCATTACAGTGAAGTCCTCCTGTAGTATTTTGTTTGCATTCCTCTGTGTGTGTGTGTGTGTGTGTGTGTGTGTGTGTGTGTGTGTGTGTGTGTAGAACTAGCAAAAGAAAACCCTGAAAGCAGAAAATAACCCAAGCATGAAATACTTGGTAGTATACAAGGAAGTCCTTTACAAAATAGGAAACCATTCAGGAAACACAAGGAAATATATGGTTGAAAAAATTTTTCACTCTAAATGAGTAACCCAAACACTACATTTCTCTTATTTTAAAGGTGCTGTCTTTACTTCCTAATTTAAAACTTAACTAAACAAGTGTGTTTCCAAATAGAAAATACGTGCTGATAGGACATTATCCCTAAATGGAAATGACACTAAGATTACTTGTAGAAAATTAACATTAATTGAAAATAAATCCCTAAGACTAATAATTGAAGTCAGCATATTCTTCAGTACATATTATATATATATATATATATATATATATATACAGTGCCTGTTTTTTTTTTTTTTTTTTTTTTTTAGTTTCCAAAATAAGGATGTTTTCATTACAGTACTTTGGAAATTTTTGATGACTGCACATGTAAGATTCTAATGATAAAAATCATTACAAGAGCTGTATGAAGTAAATGATTTGAACCTGCCAAAAGGATTAGTTCAGTTCAGTTGGGTCCTCTGGATAATAACTTATAATGCTCAGTGCATAATTAGAGAAATAATAGATTGGATGAATTTACATTACTTTTTCTGTCATAGTTTGAGACCATTACTTTATCATTAGTTCAAAGACAAGGATGGCAAGGTTGCCATGGAAACAAAGTTAAAAACAATGAAAAAATATTAATGCTTTTGAAAGTCAACTATCATTTTAATTATAATCTGAAGCTCCCTTGTTGAAGGGAATCCAAGTTTTCCCTTTGTAAGCGCCTTCCAAACATGTCATATGAAGTCATCATGACTTTAACTTTCATCTATATCTATCACGTTATATAAGTATATAGGTGTTTCTGGATGTGAAGGACAGGGTATTAGGTTCAAGTGTGGCTGGCTTTCCCCGCCCCATTAAACTCCAAGAGCGGGATTTAAGATTATTTAATCTACCTTTACTAATGAAACTTAATTTTGTAAGAAGTATCTGAAGAATATGAATTATTGTACTTCACACTGCTACTTTCAAGTATATATTAGAATAATACTGACGACAACTACAGACAAGGAGTTAAAAATGTATCCCAGAAAATTTCCTTCAAGAACTTTTAAACAGTTAGACTTATTTGTAAATAACCTACTGCTGGTTGAAATAATTTCAAGTCATCTGTGGTACATTCGGTGGCCCAAACTTTGAAATATACGAAATATTTCCTTTGTTAACATTATTAGCTATTTCCCCTTTCCCTTTGTATGGTACTAAGGCAAACTTTAGTATGTCTAATATATAGCAAATTATGAGTTAGTGGTAAGGAATGAGGTCTTATTATTTTTTTGGTTGTTGGTTTTGAATGTTACCATTTAACTTGCTTCTATTCTTAAAGAGGGACGAGACTCTTAACATATTGGTGGATTTCATGTTTTGAGTACTCATTGGTGCAAGAAAAAGTTCTTGAAGAATAAGGGATGGACGAATGCCATTTTAAATTCTTTATGACAGAAATACACACCCAGATGCAGTTCGTTATCTCCTTGTGGTCTGATATGCCAAGAACAACTTCCCAGTTGTTCCTCCCTCATTTCTTGTACTAACACTGTATTTTATACTTAAAGTACAGCCCCTCATCCCATTAGCGTGTGAAATGTACAGTCAGCACAGCCAGCTGACCTGAGTCTATGGCATGTAGGAGGCCAGGCCAGGCCAGCGGAACTGAGTGTGTCACTGCTCTCCGTCCTCATCTCCAGCACGGTGCCTGGTGGGCTGACATGGTTAACTGGATGCACTAAAAAATAAACATTTGCCCCTAGGAAGCTCATAAAAGTGTCCTTAGAAAAAAGTCTCTGACATTGGATCCACACGACTGCAGCCACTGACTTTTGGAACGGGCAGAACCGAGAACCCTTCACGGAGCCGTGGATAAATAGAAAGAAATAGCCACTTCACGTATTTCAGTGTCGTACTGGAAAATGAAAAAAGGCAACGTATTAGGAGTCCTTGTCACTGTCCACCCCTCCGTACATATCCGCGAGCTTTTTGAACCGAGGGCCCCAGTCACTAAGGTAATCGTAGTCTTGGTCTCCATCCGTGGTCACCGACTCCAGCGAGCTCAGGGAATCGGCCACGGAGCCAGTGCCCTCGTAGGCGTAGGTGGCCAAGGAGTCGTAAGGCGGAGCCGTGGGGTCCGTGTCATTTTCCTTTAGCCTTTGGTTGATGAAATCGCGGACGTCGGTGTTATCGCGAGCTGCTGGAGTCCGTCGGGGTAGAAAAAGCGCTTCAGGCACAATGTCCCTGCGTAATTTGCTGTCCTCTATGGCTTCGGGATTCCTCAGGGTGCCGATATCAAAGGCCTGGGTGTCCTCCTCTCCGCCACCTTCGTCGTTGTAGCTGACAATGTTGTCTCTGATGTCCTCTTTGGAAATGATCAAAGGTTCTTTTTTCCGCTGCCGCCTCAGAGCTGCAAACAGCACCACTGTCACTGGAAGCAGAAAACAAAAAACAGAAAGGGAAGGGAAAGTTAATTTGCCACGTAATTAACACCAGGAAGGAACACTGGGCTCCAGAGGGAAGTTTTAAAAGTTTTCTAGGAAAGTGCAGACTCAACTTTTCTGTAAGGATGCACTTGCCTTCATGCATGATCAAACCAGGACCCAAAGAAATGGAATAAATATTGGAAATGAAGGTTACAATTTAAGTAGAGAATAAAACATTGTCATATTTTTGTCAGTGGTTCCTTTTTGCTTTGAAATGACAAACTAGTTTCAAGGTAAGGAAAAAGATAAAATACTAATAAAAAAAAAGCTCAGTGAGTGTACTGCAATAAGAGTGCAAATTATGCTGAACACCCAAAATGCTCTGAAATAGCTTAAAAGCACAAGGCTGGCACCTTCCAAATGTGTTGAACGGCTTGCATAACTCCACATCTAAAATAACTTTTGCACTATGCCTTCTTTTTTGTTTTCCCAAGAAAAGTGTAAAATTATTTTAAAACCCAAAGTAGAAATGTATTTGCATACCTTTCCCACATAGGAGGAAATATTACAAATAATACCCGGGGAGACCCAGAGATAATCCAGAAAGCCATTTTGTCCCTTTGAAGAGGTCAGGTGACTAATACACAAGCCAGATTATTTCTGTTTGAGCTAAACAAAATAAATGCATTTAAGTGGGAACTTAAAACATAATCTTTCAACGAGTCATGTCCTGTAAGTGTGTTGCCCGGATGCTTATTCTTTAGATTTCTTCTCCTAACTCAAATTAGAGCATGGGTTGTATTTAAATAGCTTCTGATGTTGCTTCCTAGCTGGCGACATAGAACACAGCTGGTTACCTGTAGAGAGACGCATCTACAAATGGACGTATGTAAAAACACAGCAACAGCTTAGAGGGGAAATGGCTGTCTAGGGCAGACAATGCATTGGTAAACTGGGTTTGTCCAGGGGAGTTAATGAGAGGAAGTACCAGTGACATCTCTTGATTCTCTCATCCATAACATGGCCATGAAAATTGAATGATTGCATTAAGAATGACAGAATAATGGCTTTTGGTGGATATGTATATCTACCTATACAATAATGGATACGTGCACACTCGTAGGTCATTATCTTCACACTTCAGATGTTAATAGTATTAAGAATTGATTGTCTTTTGATAGGGTTCTACGTGTCAAAAAATGGGCCAAGTGGTTTACATACTGATCTCATTTAATTATCATAATAGCCCCACAAAATTGGTACCATCAGTATAACCCCATATTACATAGAGGGGTTAGCGATGTCACATGTACAAGCAATTGAAACCCAGGGCAGCCAGACTAAAAAGCGCATACACTTAATTACCATGTTTTGATGCATGTTTGGATTATAGACTGTTTCTGAAGGAAATACAATTTGCCATTTTCAAATGTGTGGTTGTGTAATTGTATACATTCTCTTTTGCTACCAGAGAGTAGTCTGATGCCCCATTTGTTGCACCTTTCAGGGTATTTATTCATTCACTCAATAAGTATTTATGTAGTGCCTACTCTGTGCCAGGTGCAGTTCTTGGCACTATCAAGGAAAAAAAATTGATCAAGACCTCCATCCTAATAAGGTGGGCAGGAGTGGTGGTGGTGACGGTGCTGGATGGAGCATAATAAATAAGAAAATTAATGGAAGGTGATAAGTAGAGCAGAGTAATGAGGATGGGAGTGCTTCTTTGTATGTTTGAGGGGCTGTAGATGTTTTTTGGGGGGAGATTGCATCATTGAGGAAGTGACATTTGAGCAAAGACATGAGGAGTCAACCAAAGAGTTCCCTGGTGGAGAGGACATAGCTAGAAGAAAGGCCTTGGAGAGGGGGTGCTCCTGGAGTGTTTGAGGATCAGCCAGGAGACCCTGTGGCTATGCCAGAGGGAGCAGGGAGAGGAGAGACATAGGGAAGGGGCGCCTCGGGTGAGGTTGTGGGTGCTTCTGCATGCCTTCGCTGACTCTGGGGTCCGGGTGGTTGGAAAATTGCAGGGCTTTGGGCAGAGGGATGCTCACAATATACCTTTTATACTGCTTTGCAGTGTGACTAGTGACGTGGATTTGCAAAACGGGATTGTAAGGACAACCTCTGGGAACGGAGAACACAATTAAGCTAACTCACTCTCAAAAAATTAAACTCTGATGTACACGGACGGGTTCATTCCATTATTTAAGACAAGATAGCAGGCATTTATCATTTCCCAATTCTTCCTGCTTAAGTTACGTGTATCTTTTATTTTAGTCCTACGTGCACCAGAAAGTTCAGTTGTCTAGGAGAGAGAAGGCGCATTCAGTCATTCAAAGGCACTTATTCACTGCCTGATTATCCTACAGCTACCACTGCCTATATCTTTTCATTAGTCCAAATACACATCTGAACAGAATTTCTTGAGAATATAATTGCCTAGAAGGGAGAGTTTTCAAAGCTAACTCCTATAAATGGAAAACGTGAGATCTAAGCACATGGAACAGAAAGGTTCTGAGAAGGTTACGCGCTGAGGAGGTGCCCTTCCCAGTAACTGAGCCCCCTTCCCCTTTCCTACTCCCTTGAGGCCAGAGGACAGCAGTAAGATGATTTCAGAGGGCAAATTTGTGCTCAAAATCCCATCATAAAACTAGAAAGTAGCAGGCATTTGAGATCAGCAGACCGAGGTTTACTTAAAGAATTTGAGCTTTCTAAGTAAGACTGTGCCCTTCTCTGAAAAGAGAATCATGTGATGCCCAGTGTTGTTGTCAAGAATGAGTTAATATATGTGAATGTTTTGCAAACTCTAAAGCACCACAGACACACGAGATGTAGTAGCTGTTTTACTGTTGTTTTATTTCTGTAAATAAAACAACAGATGCCCATGATCCATTTTCTTGACTGCAGATTTCCTCCTACATAAATCTGGCTTTCCTTCTCTTACAGACTCTCAGGTTTGCTTCCATTTTCTCCAGTTGTCTCACTTTCAGTTTGGGCTCTCTTTCAGCCTAGAAGTTTCCCTTCCTTAAGCTCACAAAATACGTAGAGCACAGTGTGGAAGCACCAAGGCTGGGGGGAGAGGACCTGAGTTTGGAACTCAGCTCTGGCACCTGTTAGCCGCGTTCATGACTACACATCTTGGAGCCTCAGTTTTCATATGTATGATGTGGATAAATACATACCAGATGGTGCTGAGGACTTCGTGAGGAAAACATTTGTAAGAGAACATTTGTAAAGCACCTTGCCCAGTGTCTTCCCATGATGTGAGCCTAGTTAAAGGGTAAGTCCCATTTTTCTCCTTTTTTATTAGGTACGGAATTCTGAAGAGAGGAGACAGGACGTGGGAGGCACTGAGGCAAATTAGGAGAAATGAGGGGATAGCAAATTCACTGAAGGAAGGAGATGAAAAGGGAGGATAAAGGGAGCTGGTTAGAAGGAAGAAAAAGGGAAGGAGAAAATAGGTAGATGATGAGGGAAAGGAAGAATCACCTCTGTGAGATGAGAGTCGGCTCTCCTTCTACAGACCATGAAAGAGCCCATGGAATTCTACCCAAGTGCAGGCCTGCCAACCCACCTTCTAAAAGTAACCTTTTTAAAATGAAAATGTATTCATATTCTTCTCTTCCAAAACAATATTTACAGACTCACCATTGGAAACACTGAATTGTCTTTGCCTACTGTTGGTGTTTATGTATCCTCATATCTTAAAATACTTTCCCCAAAGATTAGTTGACAAAGAGAATCCCAGTTCTGTAGTTGAGTTTCAAGGCTTCTCTTATAATGAGTAACGTTGACCTGGAATGTGAGGCTCTTGAGCAGGGACCCTTAGGCAGTCTGTTCTTGGAGAAATGTAGGTCTTCGTTTACTCTTCTCAAAGTCATTGTATTGTCATTTTTCAAAAAGCACCCCACCCCATATATTCCAGATTAGCTCTTACTTTTTACTTTTCTTTTTCCATGGTGTGGGCAAGCTCTCCAAATCTTACTTTTATTTTGGGAAGGGCTGCGTTAGCTAACATTTGATTTCTTTAGTTCACAACAGTCAGGAGTCTGTTGAGCATTTTGAGCTCAATTTTATGTTTAATTAGCTGGTTGGGGGTAAAAATTTTATTTGAATCATTGTTAGGCCTTGATTTTTGCTTTTATTACATTCATTTCTTTTAGATTTATTTCCTTGGTCACTGAAGTTCTTTATTACTGAGAATCTGAGAAATAATAGACATTATGTATGGCAAGCAATAGAGCAATGCTAAGAAGGTAACTATTTAAATTGGTAGATCAAAATAACTTGGCTGAGTTAGAGAAAATGTCATTGCTTTTTATTTTCCTGTGTGAGAGAGAAAAAGTCATCACATCCCTCTTTCTACTTTCTCATTGATTTTTAAACTTGAACTTCATAGAAAGGGCCTTCATCATATACTCCATGCCCAAAGACTCTCTCTTTAAAATTTAACAGTATTTGTCAGGTGAAATATTAACCAACAAATGAAATGAAAGAGCATATTGATGTTGCCCTCAAATCCCCCTGAGATTCATTCCCAGTCTGATAGGCAAGAATTCTTTTGGTGCAGTGGTTCCTAGGGTGGGTAACGACATGGGCAAGTTTCACATCTCCAAAACCATGTTCGAGCAAAAGCTAGTTCACCGCCAAACAACACAGATTCTCCGCGTATAACTCTACTCACCTAGATTGAGCTGTATGCCTTAATGGGGGAGGCAGATAAGTCTAGAGTGTCACAGTACCAGTGTGTGCCCCTCAGCATGAGGAGATAGGATGCAGGGAGCAGCAGTTTACCTAGTAAGGTCACGATGCACAGAAGAATGGCGATCAGAGCCCCAGTGCTCAGTCCCGTGGGGTGGACGAGGGCCTCGGCGTGGCAGGACTGCATGTTCCCGTGGTGGTCACATGCACAGACCCGGACAGTCACTGTCCCCGTGCTGCTTTGGACTGGGTAGTCGTTGTCTGAAATGACCACGGGGAGGAGATAGGTGCTCATCTCGTGTCTACTGTAGCCATTTTTCCGAGTTAAGATTCCTGCCGTGTTGTCTGGAACCGGAAAGCAAAGTGGTGAATGTATGGGGATACGGCGGCGTGTATTGGATCAATTGTGAGGGGAATAGATACGTATCGATACAGCTATAACTATATAGATAAAGAAAGGAACTTGGGCTCATTTACCTTTGTTGTCTTGAATGGTAAAGTTGGAGCCACTGGCTGCTTCCGGGGCCAAAGAGAATGAGAACTGGTGCCCGCTGTAAGGATCGTCCTTGTCAACTGCTCGGAGGGTCTGAATCAACTGAAACCCAAACCATAAAGCTGTCACAAAGTTTGGCTAACTTAAGTGCTTCTTACAGCTTTGCAGTAAATGGTTGGACTCAGTGACTTCTAATTTTAATGTAAAAATCATAGCCTCTTAGTTTACCATGAATCCACTCTCTGCAAAGCACTGATGGTTGGACATAGGGGTAAGTGTTTGTTGTGAGGCCCTCCTGTGCACTGTAGGATGTTTAGCAGAAAGCCTGGCTTCCTCCCACTAGATACCAGTAGCACCCTCTTCCTTGTGACAATAAAAATAATTGTCCCCGGACACTGCCAAATATCCCCTGGGAGACAAAATCACCCAGGTTGAGAAACACTGCCCAAGAGTGATACAAAGCTACACAATATCACAGTGATCTGTGACAACATTGCAACTTAAATAGAGGCGCTCTTTGGACAGCGTGTTTAGAAAATCAATCTTGGCATGTATGTAGCCATCAACTTTCAAAAAAGCTAAAAAGAAAATTTGTATATAAAACACATAACTTCAGCTTCCCACTTTAACATGTATTTTAGAAGTGCACTTCTCTTTTGACAAACTGTAACATAATTTTTATATCACTGGCAGAAAAGACCTGTTTCAGATGGGGACAAATGTGTAAAACATTCATGAATTTGTATTACTTGTACAGATGGGCAATGTAAATAAGTGGAACTATGAATTATAGGCATTTGTAAAATATGTTCCAGTTATTACTTTCCAGTGCATATGGTGATTAAAACTATCTGCTTACCAATAAAGATTTTTCCAATAAAGCTGTGACTAATCTATTTTAATGAAAACGTATGACTGATTTGGAATCAACATCAGACTTTGAGGTTGATGAACTTCCAGTTCTTAGAAACTGTTTGTTCTCTTATGCAAGTTAAACATTCATTCTGGTTCTTATTTTGTTAGCATTCACTTCATAGATAATTCAGAACTGGCCCTCTGCTCTGTTTATCATCTGACTTATTAGATGATCTAAATGAATCTGACTAAATTAATTCACTTTCTATGAAACTCACCTGATCTGCTTTTGCTTTTTCACAGACAAAGGTTTCATAGAATTCAGCAAATTCTGGGGCATTGTCATTGACATCTAGAACTTTAATATATAGAGGTACTCGGCTGCTTTGCTTTGGATTATCTGCAACGAGCCCAAACGAAAGGAATAGGCATTTATATTGCTGGTCACCCATCCCCTTTAGACAACAGCCACTCACTCCTTTCTCATTCATACACAGATTCCCCAAGGCTGCTGTGAGTACCAGAGAGCACTATGTACTAACGTATTCACAAAAAAGAAGAATTAGATTGTTTGGTACCTCTGGTCCATCAAATACACCTGATGGAAATACCTACAAAACTAAGCTACTGTTGTTGATGTTGTTCAACTGTGTAATAAGCACTAAATTAACACAAAATAAAGAACAGCTATCCTGCAAAGGAACTTTAGAGCCAGATTTTAAAGGAAGCCAAGGGAGCAGGCAGACAGGAAAAGTGTGGACAAAAGGAAGAAGAGGAGGTGTGTGGATTGGGGGGGATGAATGATTATTATCAGTTGTAGTTTTTTAGTTTCAGTGCTGAATAAGATCTAGACATTGTGCTATATTATCTTATTTAATCCTTACAAACTCTTGAGATAGATACAATTATTGCCCACATTTTATAGGTGAGGAAACTGAGGCACAGAGAAGCTAGGTAATTAGTCCATGTTCACAGAGATAGGAGTGGAGCCTAGATTCAAATTTGGATCTGTCCGACTCCAATGCCCAGGCTGTTCATGTAGACTAATGATAGAGCAGAATCCATGTTTGAGGGCCTGAGATAAATAAAGCACTTTGGTTGTCTTCTATGATAATATCCTGGCCTAAGAATCAGAAGTTGGAGTCTCTAACCTCAGCTGTCTTCATTCACTTAACTCATATATCTATTTGTTCACTCACTTCATAAATATTTAGAGAGCACCTAATAATCTAATTTGTACCAGCCACTATTTGGGCTACTGGAACACATGGGGCATATAACAAAGATCCTGCTTCCTGGAGCATTATTTTACTGGGGGTAGCAAACTGTAAACATACAAATATGTACTGTGCCAGATGGTAAATGCTATGGAGAAATTAAACAAGGAAAAGGACTTGGAGAGAGATGGAGGTGCTACTTTGAATGGGCTGACCAGAGATGGCTTCTCTGATGAGATGACATTTGCACGGACATGAATGAAGAAAAAGGATTAAACCATGTAAATATTTCTGGCTCTCCAGGTAGAGGAAATAGCAAGTGCGAAGGGCCTGGAGTGGGAGTGAGCTGGTTTTAAATAAGCTCTTACTTTCTGTCACAACAAAAGGTAGTTAAGAAGTTTAGATAGTAAGATTCTTAAGATCCTTCACATACAAAATTTTGCTTACACTATTCTTCCAAAGTTAGAGCTGCTCAAGATGAAGTTTTAAAAGGTTTTTACCACTAGACATTTCAAATATATCACAGAAACGTTAAATCTTAAAAAAAGAAAATTGTAGGCACAAAGCTTAAAAATACATATGAAATGACTACTTCAGTAAAAACAAACTTCCCTGATGTTATAGAAAATGGTCCTTTTTGATGGGAAATGATTGTAATTTTAAAGCTTTGAGGATGGTCTGTCATCGGTATCCACATTAGTCTCTCCACATAAATTCTGAAGAGCAAATTCCTATATGACAAATTTATAATGAGTTCTCATCACTATCAAAAGTAATGCTTCTTTTTGCCCTTTTGGTTATTTATTATTCTACTCAATATCTTTCAATCACTCAAATCTCATGAGGTATATTGACAAAGAATACTACTTAGTATTATACCATTTGATATGGAATGTTTTACACTAGATACCCAACTGAGCTAAAAAATGTTTATTCTTTTATAATAAAAAACAAAACTAAAAAAAAAGAGCTATAATTTGGAAGCCTATTTTTAAACATTTAAATGATATTTTAAAGATCATTGTCTTTCATGTACTTAGGTATACACATTGTATATACATTGCACAATTTTAACTGTGTATAATCATTTTATTTGAAGCATTCTTTTGGCACTATTTTTCTTTGCCTTAAATTTCATGGGAACGGCCATAAAATTCATTCTGAACAGTTTATTGATTACTTAGTGGTTTGTATTGTTCACTTTGGTGTACCATGGAAAAGTTAAAATTTATCTCTCTTAATTCCATAACAATTTTGAAATAGAAATTTTCTATAGAAAGCTAGATTATCCAAAAGATTTCTAAACAATGCCTACATTTTAGAATTTATTTGATCCCCCCCCCCCACTAACACAATGTCAAACCACAAGCCCATTTTTTTCAGCTGCTTCTGTAATGTTCTGACTTAAAAGCTTTTTGGAATCAAATTTGACATCTACCAATTCAACCTCAGTTGACAGATGCCTTCCAATCTTATTGTTGGGGATAATTTTTTTGTTGAATAATAAACTATTGAACATCCACATTTGCCTCTGCACTTGTGACTGAACAAACACGTGTCTAGAAGAAACATTATTGCAAATCATTACAGGGCTCTTTCCCTCAGTATGTGTTGATTGGGTCATCACTAGCCCTTGCTGGACCCCCTCCATCAGTTGGGGACAGTAGTGGTACAAGGCTGGACTTACTGATCTCAGTGGCTATCACTGTGATGTTGTGCCACAGCAATGTTTCTCGGTCAAGGAGTTTCGATGTAAAAATGGAGCCATTTCCAGAATCAATGTTAAATATTCTGTCCATATCTGTGTGTCGATCCACCGAATACCTGAAAATGCAGAGTGGAATTTAAAAAGGTTTTCTTTAAATGTTCAACATCACTTAGCATTAGGGAAATGCAAATTAAAACCACAATGAGATACCACCTCACCCCGGTCAGAATGGCTATCATCAATAAATCAACAAACAACAAATGCTGGCGAGGCTGTGGGGAAAAGGGAACCCTGGTGCACTGCTGGTGGGACTGCAGGCTGGTGCAGCCATTATGGAAATCAGTATGGAGGCAACTCAGAAATCTGAAAATGGAACTACCTTACAACCCAGCAATCCCACTCTTAGGTATCTATCCAAAAAATCCCAAGACATTAATCCAAAAAAATATATGTACCCCTATGTTCATTGCGGCGTTATTCACAATAGCTAAGACTTGGAAACAACCAAAATGCCCATCAGTAGATGACTGGATTAAGAAACTTTGGTACATCTACACAATGGAGTATTATTCAGCTATAAAGAAGAAGGAAATAGTACTGTTTGCAACAATATGGATGGAACTAGAGAACATTATGCTAAGTGAAATAAGTCAGTCAGAGAAAGACAAATATCATATGATCTCACTTATACGTGGATTCTAAGGAACTGAATGGATGGGAGAAGTGGATGGAGATAGTCTCAGAGACACAGAGGAAGAACTGAGGGTTGCTAGTAGGGAGGGGGTGGGGATGAAGGAGAAGGGGAAGGGATGAGACAATACAATTGGGTAATTGTAATTTGGCCGCAGGGATAGAAAAAGACAGTTCGAGGAATACAATCAATAATGTTGTAAGCATTTCTTAGGGGGCCAGATGGACCCATGTCCTTTTGGAGAGTCCACTTCATAGTTGATGTAGAGGCCTGACAACCGCATTGTATTCCTAAAACTGATGTTGAATAATACTATATGTCAACTATAATTATATATACATATAGTCACTGGACATGGAGTAGAGTGCGGGAACGGATTCAATGGAATTGTAATAGATAAGCATGATATCGGGGGTGGGAGGGCAGTGGATGGGGGGAGGGGGGTTGTTACTTTGTGAGGGTGAAAAGGGTAACTATTGCATTGTTCTGTACACCTGAAACTAACAATAAAAAAAATAAAAATAAAAAAATAAAAAAAATAAATAAAAAGGTTTTCTTTGTATTTGCTATTCTCATATCCTAAAACTATTCCCAGAATATCTGTTACATGAATTTTTTCTACCTATAGCACATTTTTGACTATCTATAACTTAACATTAAGCAAAATATTCTGAGGAATTAATTCTTTACAACTGAGGTCTTCATAGTAAACCCGCTAGACAAGTTGGATGATTTTGAGTATCACCACTAAATTTTCTTTTTTTATGTGTAATTTTGATTAAGCCTGTATAGTAATTGTTAGAATTTAAATCAAGTTTTTAGAGCATCAGAAATTTAGTGTGTGTGTGTGTGCGCGCGCACATATATAGGATTATTGGCTATTTGTCTATTATCCATTTATTTTTAAAGCTGTTATGTTCAAAGAAGCAAAATATGGCTAGTGTGGCCGAGGTTAGTGAGGAAGGAGATGGATTGTAGAAGGATGGGCTGGCCGTGGTAAGGAGCTGGGATATATTCCAAGCATGATGTGACTCTACTAGTGGATTTTAAGGAGGGGAGTGTCACAGTAAAAGTCATGTTTAACAAAGATCACTGGTTGACTCGAGGAGAATGGTTGGATGTGCTGACGCAAACTGATAAAAGAGTGAAGAACAGGATTTGTGGGAAGAACATAAATTCCAGTTTTGATATGTTGAGGTTGAAGTGCCTGAGAAAAGCCCGGGAAGAGATAATCTGAAGGTCAAGATAAAGATCTGGACTGACAACATAGATTTCCTATTCAACTGTCTAGGAAGGGAATGTCCAGTGAAGGGAGAAAAACACTCAGGACAGAATCACTTAAAGGATGAACAGGACAACAGAGATCCACAGGGACTAGAAGGATGCCCAGAGTAGAGTAGGAACGTGATAAATATTTGAGTTTGGAGAAGTCAAAGAAAACCAAGAGTGGTGTCCTAGAAACCAAAGAAGGACAGAGCCTTCAACATTGAAATTGGTGGAAGACTAGTAGATTTTGAGAAATGCTATCTTCTTCATAAATTGATTATTCCTAAGTTTTTGGAATAGCTATCTAAGGGGGAAATATATGTATACTCTGTTTTATGGGGGGGAACATTAAAGAGAAAATTCAGAAGAAAGTTGATATGTTAAGGCCATTATAGAACAAAAATTTGCCCCTTTCAACTGGATTCTCAAAATTTATATCATAGTAGGAGATTTAAAAATGTTACCTCAGTAGAAACACAATTTAAGTAAATGATCTAATAGTCATAGATACATGGAATTATTATGAATGCTCTAACAAAAATATTAACTTTTGTTACTAATGTACAATAGTTACAATGTCCAAGATTCTATTTCAGTTATTTTGTTTTAAAATATAACTACTGAATTATAATAAACAATATATTTTAGCTTAATAAAATCTATTTTTGTCATCTAGCAGGGGTCAAAATAAAATAGACGTTCCATTACTGTAGTCTATGTAAGCCTGACTTTAAAGAGAATGAATGAAGATACATATGTATATGTATATACGGTGATCTTCATTCATATATATATATATTATTCATTCATATATATATTATATCACCATATATGTTATATATATGTGTATATATATATATTCTAGTTTCAATTTACATAAACCTAATGTTTTATTATCAAAAGGGTTGAAACAGATGGAGCAGCTATAGTTTTTTCCATTTATGTCATGAATCAACATTTATTAAGAATTTAGGCAACAGCATTGAACTTGCTTGATCACCTTTCTTCGTTTTTAATTTGAGAATGATAAATATTTATAGCACTTAATTACCAAAAAGGGAATCTCAATATTCATAGACTTTGAGAGATATTAAATAATTATCTACAAATATATTTTTTCCTCGTGAAAAAATGTCAAGCTTAAGACATGCTGCTTATTGCCTTTATTAGCTGTTACAATTATATACAGCAGCAATCTTTTCTAGTTGTCGCTTTTCTTCCTGCTATAGTTTAAAGTTTTATAAGTAATCATCTTTTCCCATCAAGCCTCGAAATAAAGGGAACAAGGTGAGGAACTTTCCATTGAAAGCAGCTATTGATTTTAAGGAGAAAATAACTATTTAGGAAATGCCAAAATGTACATTATTTCTTTAATTGAGAGATTTAAAAAATAATAGAAAAGCGAAAATGTCTACATTGTTTAGGAAAGGTGCTTGCACACAAAGCTTTACTTATTTGTCCTTTTTCTCTCCAAAGTATTTTCAATTATATTCAGGATATTTACCATCTAGTAACATGAATTGTAATCATTACTGATAAAGAACAACGTAATCAGTCCCGCCATGACTGTAGCAGATTATCCTGCTAGGTAGCTCTTTTTTTTTTTTCTTCTAGAATTTTATTGTATTCTGTGATTTAATAATTTGTCTTTTAATGCATTCCCAAGTCAGGAAGATTTGTGGGTTAGGAAAGGAAGTATGTTTGCAGTAAATTTTTCACAATCTATATTCATAGTGATAGTTTGTGAGACTCTCTTGTGGAAATCAAAGGTCATTTGTGATAAAGTTATTGGAAGAAAATAATTTTATGTGATTGAAGAATTAAAGATTTGTGCCTGCATAATGATATATTGATGTTTGGGGGAAGAATTTCCTAGCATTAATTGTGCACCTAACGTATTGTCTAGCATCTAGTTGTTTAATATGTGTGTCTTGAATAAACAAAAACTATGTATGGATATACTTTCCTAATATAAGAATCAATTTTATCCTATAGAAGGGATCACTGGAACATGCATTTATATACCAGTATATTTATGTATACATCTATCCTTAAGTATATATATCAAATCCATATGTACCAGGGGAGAGCTGACAGAAAAAAACTTCCAAATTAGCTGACAGCTAACCCAGTCTGACAAACTAACTACTTCTTTTCACAAACATAAAATAATGTGGTGGGTAAAAATGGTATTTGGTATTAAAAAAAAGCAGACATAAATATTCAGCCTAAATTCCCGGAAGACTTATCTCCTTCAATTAAAAACATGTTGACCAGTCAAAGAGGTAACCAGAGCTCGTATTTGTAAACTTTCAGTATTAATGTTTTTAAATTGGCCTTGGCATTGACTTGCTAAGATTTCTTTCTTTATGCAGTTAGAACGGACTCCAAGTGAGAGAATAGTTGTAAAAGTTCTTAAAATTACTTGTGTTATACAAGCAAAATCCATCATTTATTTTCCTTAATAATATTAAGTGTATATGGAGGAACAGTGGGTCCATGGACCTCACATGTGGCTACTTTGACCATAGTCCAATTCAAGAAGTCTACAAATATTCCGGTAGAATGATAAAACAACAGAGTCTGTTATCCCAGTGATTTAAAATTGTTCCCTGAAAGTGAGCCAGGCATTTTTGTGTTTTAGATGTGGGACTTGCCATGAGGTTTTCTTTGAACAAAGGGCTCATGGATAAAATGTTGGAAAGTGACTGCCTTAGAGTCTCCAACTCTTACCTGCAACAGTATTCTTCATGCGTAGCCAGTGTGACCCTTTGGAAAAGTAGTTTGGGATGAGGTAACGCTTCTGCTAAAAGCTCTCCCATGGTCTCTTTCCTCAATCAGGATGAAATACAGTCTTTACCAGGGCCTACGAACCCACCGCCTAACAAACCGCCCCGTAGCCTCACGCCTCACCGATCCTTGCCTGGCTCACTCTCTTCAGTCTACATAGGGCTCCATGTTACTCCTTCTACATGCCAAGCAATCACACCTTACCCTTGCATTTCCCTCTTGGAATGTTTTCCCGCCAGATATCAGCCTGCTATTCATCCCTTCATTTCATTAAAACATTCTTCTCAAATTATTTCCTACTGAGGCCAAGCCTGACCACGCTTCCCCAGATACCTGTTGTTTCATACTCTGTCGTATTTAACTGCTCACAGTTTACTTCTACCTGACATATATGTATTGCTTGCTTATTTCTGTCTGCCCCAATCCGAAGGTAAGCTCCATGAGATCAGGACTCGGTCTTGTTCTCATTGTTTCCCCAACATTTTAAACATGCCTGGTGCCAGGCAGGCGCCCTGATGAGAACGTATGTGTGAACTCACTGGCAAGGATTCCTCTAGCTTCTCAGCCGGCTTGCTGTCTTTACGGGGAATCATTTACACAGTGATATTCTGGTTTAGCCCTTTTCTCATCCCGTCCACTCAGCTCTTGGCTAAAGGCTGGAGGCTGGCTGATGCCAGCACTTGCATAAGATTCTAGAATCCTGAAGCATCTGGGATCTCAAAGAGCACTGGGGCTTCCTTGCAACATGATTTACAACTAAGGTATAAGGAAAGTACAGGGAGAATAGAGCTTGCTTCCACAGTATAAGTTGGATCCAACTCTATTAATTTCCCCAGGATTTCGCAGCGGTTCTCATTTTTATCCATGTGTGCAAAAGAAAACAATGGCGCATCCAAGTGGGGCAGAATGCTGCCTCTAAGTGTTATACAGTTGGCTCTTCCACACTTGAGAAACAGATTCTCACATTGCTTTCTCCACACCACCCTTTAACAAATTTAAGACCTTAAAAAAAAAATCCCCGGCCATTCAAGAACTGTATCTTATACCATTTCTAAATAAGCAGTGAACTCTTTATAGCTCATTTTATGTTTTTCCTCCCCAAATTTTGTGTTTTTAAAGTTTACGCTGTTGCTAAAATCATATTTGTGTTGAGTAAGGAGAGAAAAGGTGCTGTGGAGAGTAGTTTTTCAGGAAGACACAACTGTCAGATTGGAAAAAAAAGGATTCATCTTTTCCAACTTGCAGGCAGATATTTGAATATAAATCAACTGAAGCGTATGAAAGGGCTGTGTTGGAAAAGGGTGCTTACTTGACAGGATTCCTGGCAGCATCTGGGTCTTGGGCTGTGACTGAGCCTATTGTCGTGTTTATCTGAGCATCTTCTCTTATTTGTAGGATGTAGGCCACTTTGCTGAAGACGGGGGGCTCGTCTACATCTTCTACCAGGATTCTGACCGTCGCTGAATCTTTGAATGGACCCAGGTAGAGAAAGCGGGGTTCAACGTGAGGGTTGGTGGCTTCCACTTTGAGGGTGTACACTTTCTTCTTTTCAAAGTCCAAGAGCTTGGGGGAGGGGGGGTAATTGACATATTTAAAGCAACCAAGAAAGCCAAGACATGACCCATTTTTAGTGCAAATCACTGATAAATGATTATGATCATATTGCTTGGAGATATCACTACACAGTGTGATATTGGGCAAAGGCATGGAGTTCAGATGTCACACAGTCTTGGTGACAGTGTGGGCTGAAGCCATGCCTGCTGTTACCTTGGAAGTAGGTGCTGCAGAGGTGCAAGGTATAATGGGCAGGAAAGGGAAGCTGAAAGCAGGGACAAGTTGGCAAATATGTGGTAGATTATTCCGGCTCAGGTTTTGTCATATCTGGCTTTAACTGAACACCAAATGAGTGTTTAAAATTTGCCACTATCTGGACCCCATCCTGAACCATTCAGGCAAAATGTGTGTTGTGTGTGTGTGTGTGGGGATCTATACTTTTAAACACCTTCCCTGCTAATTCTAATGTGCAGCCAGCATTGAGAAGCACAGGCTTGCATCACGAATCCCTCTTCCTCATTCAGATAAAGTACATTAAAATATTTTTCTGGTTTTTTTTTTGGTATGAGGTGATAAAATATTCTGAGTGCTATCCCAATAAGGGCACTGGGCTAATGACTTGCCAAAGAAAGTAATGATCATTGTTGTCAGAGGTCTTTAGGGAAAATATCTCTGTTTCTGGAGACAGAGTGAACCCAAGTGCTTCTTGCTGACTTTCAGTTTTAGACGATAATATGACAAGGCTGACTAGAAACACGATTAATCAAGATGCTAGTGAATGTGATTTAGTCGGCTAGGCAAAATTTCAGTTTGAATCTGATAAGGCACCAGAAAAATTAAAGAGGTTAATGCACACTAATGGGCTTCCTAATTCTATTATAGCATAAAACATTGGTCTGAGTGTCACTTAAACATGTTTTATTGTGTCCCCATTTATTAAGACATGTAATCCAAAGTTTAAGAGGAAAAATTCTTCTTGTTATTTACATTTCCCTAGGCTTATATTTACCAGCAAATATAACAGTGTGCTAGGAGACAGAGAAAATATTACACTATGCATGATAAAAGTGAAATCCGTAAAAATAGTAACCCAAAAGAATATTAGCTTTAGCTTTGAAGCACAATTTGTTTTTAATTTTTGCCACACTTGTGTACTGCTCTGTGGTGCTAGACAATTTTGCAGGGGAGGAAGGGGGTAAATGGTGAATAAGTACATAGAGGAAAAATAGGAATTCAGAATATACAATATTTATTATTGTGTCGCAAAATAATGAGTAAGCACATGGGGGGAAACAGGAATTCAGAATATAAAAAAGTTATTGCGTTCCAAGTGTAGCTAAAGAGTTTGCAGGAAATTTGTAGTCTTTATATCTTCTCTCTTTCTAATTCAGATTATTGTTATCATTGCTTGTATTTACTCTTTTCCTTCAAACCATGTGTCAGAATTTGTAGTTACCTGTGTTGGTTTATTTGCTTCCTTTTGTCTCTTTTCTCCCTACAATGGAAGTTCCATGAGAGCAGACACCATCTTTTTGAATGAAATATTGTACCTCCAGTATCAGAAGAATGTCTGGCACTGCTTTTTTTTATTGTTTATTTATATTATTTATTTTACATACCGGTATATCATGTGTTTCTATTATTTATTTATTTATTTATTTATTTAGGAGGTGCTTAATAAACAATTTATTGAAAGCCTGGAATTAATGAGTGCATGAGATTATTGAGGACCCCTAAAAGCCAACCGAAGCGATCTCAATGTAGAGTTGGTGTTTCTAGAGAATAATTCATAAGAGGAGACTCTAGAGGAATGTTCATGTGAGGTGGAATCGTCCCCAGCTACCTGGGGACCAGAGAAACGTAAATGTGTTCATTCATGGTAGTACCTTTTTGACAGTTATAATCCCTTCCTGGGTTTCCTGGTCAGTGACGACATCGAACATGTCCAGCCCCTCTCCCTCTGTGATGCTGTACTCAATGGCAGCGTTTTCTCCCATGTCGGCATCGCTGGCTTTGATCCTGCCAATTGATGTACCCGGGGGCGAAGATTCCGGGGTGTTAAACTGGTATGTACCTGTTAGTCACCAGAAAGATATATGTCAAACACCGACTCAGTACATTCTGTCAAAACAGAAACAAACCCCATTTTTGAGCAGTGCTTTCAGGCATTACACATGGATGCAGGCAGATGTGTGCTTCCCTTAAAATAATTAATGGTGCCCTGGTCTCCTTACGTCTTTACTTGCATGATTGTTAGGAATATTTCTTCTAGTTCATACCTGTCTCTTTGTAAATGGAGAGCACTTTTCTTGTCCTGTAAATAGGCTTCCAAGTTTATGGTGTGATTGTGAGAAAGACTGCAGTGTTAGGGGAGGGTGCAGACAGTTTCAAAGCCTCCTGTTAATGTAATCTATGGGGAGAATAGAAAAGAATTTAACCTGGCCTGTGACTTTAGGCCAATTACTAGGTATTTTTAAAAAGAGTTCTTTCTGTCATTGCTAATAATAACTGAAGGTGAAAAGAAATTATAGCAATTTGGAGAATGTATTTTCATAGGCATTCTTTTACTCATACATGGAGCTGGTTTAGCTACAGTTAGGGATATAGATAAATACATGGAAACATAAAGCTCTTATTATTTTTTTCTTTTGACTAATTTTTTTCTTTTAAGTTTTATTATATTATTTATTTCTATGCATAGATTGCTCCCATTCTTGAATTTATATTACTAATTGAAAACCTGTAATTCATAAACATACCCTTTTTGTATGTCCTCATGTTGCAAAATTGGTTTAAGGAAGCTAACTGAGCTTCAATTTAGATCTGCCAAGCTAGCATATATACTAAGGGCCAAAAAAATAAAGCAGTAAAACAAAACTTATTTTTATTCATCCAATACATTTTGTCAATCATTCATGCTAATTGTTTTGGAAAAAAATTTAGACTATGACACCACTAGACTATAGTACTTTAATAATATTAATCCAGTAACTTTTGGGCTGATCCTTGGTAAAATGTAAAAGGCCAAGTTTTTTTCTGGTGTATTCAACTTCCATTTGGGGTGCCTCCTACCCCTTTCTATATTCTCCCCTCCCTTTGCCTCTGTACATTATTCACTAATGATCACTAGCTATCCAAGGAGAGAACAGAGTGAGGTAAGGTCCCCGTGGCATCAAGGTGGGGGTCAATCCTTTTGTCATCCTTCTCGAGGACTTTCCCATATGGAAAAGGAGGTTTTCAGGTAAAGGGTTGGTAATCCTGATATTTTCACTTTTGGTCTCTGTGGGGGATATTTTAGGGTTCCTAAAACCTTTCTCCTACCCGTGAAATCAGATATTAGTTAGCTATTCTGTTTTTGCATTTAGCCAACTGTGCCTAATTACTTGAAAAAAGTAATGAAAATAAAACTGTTTCCTGTTGATCCATGTGCATCTCCATTATAAAAGAGGCAATTATTAACTGACCAGCTTTACAAAAATGCCATGATTGAATAAGTGGGTTTTCCATTTAATATTTGGGCAGCTATTTTCTCCAGGGAGACAGGATTCGGGTAATTTTCTTAGGCGATCATGGTCAGAAAGAAATTTTGTTCCTGGAAGAAAATTACATTAAAACCAGTCCCCACTTGAGGTGCTTTATGTGAAAGGGTCTAGTGCACTGCTTGATACAAAGTGGGCATTTACTGATGTTGTTTTTCCTCCTTCTTCCTCTGTAATCATGAGAGTTAATAATTTTAGAGATGACTTTTGGGATCTCAATTAACCATGATGTAGAAAACTATTTATGAGTACGAATGGATTAAGTACATAGTTATTTCCATAGATGTATTTTTAGAAACAGTAAAATGATAAATCCTCCCCTTACAAAGCTTCGTGAGGATTTAAAAAGAGCTTACACGGCTGATTCAATTCAGAAAATATAAAGTCAAATTTCTCTTAACAAATCACAGCATGCTTGTATACATATGTTCTGCACGAGCAAATTTATGTTTGTGGTTGTCTTTTTAATAAGGAAAAATAAAACAATGATGTTGCTTTTACAATCACAGCCATAACAGAAATCGCTCAGCTAATTACCGATACAGGAACATAAACGTTCGCATCTACTGAGCGTTAAGCATTTTCAATTCATTTTTAATAAAAGCTCCGGTTTTTACTAAGTTCACTAATTTTGACAGTTAATAACAATATTGGACAATCAATATCATTCTTGAAGTTAGAGTTTTACAAAAGTGCACTGAAGAAAGTCATTCAATCAAATGCGCCTACTCTGGGGGAACCGGGGAGGGTTGTCGTTGACGTCTGTCAGCGTGATGTTCACTGTGGTGGTCCCCGATAATCCCCCCATCTGGCCGCCCATGTCCTTGGCTTGAATCACCACTTGATACTGCTCCCTGTTTTCTCGATCCATGTTGAGCAAAGCTGTCTTGATGATACCTGTGGATATGAAATTCAAAAGTGGAAAGCGAGGTATGAAAAATACTGTATGGAATCATTTATTTATGCAAACAGACGCAGATTGTCACCACAATATGCATTACAATATATAGATGTCATGGGTGACATAAAAAGGATTATAGGTAGCCTTTATACTGAACAAAATTAAAACCACATAGGGCAGCTAGATACACTTAAAAAAACACACACCAAATACCTATAATGCAGGGAGAATGAGAAAAAGTATAAGTCAAATTCTGTAAGAGCAGAGACTGTAAGTGGTACATATATTAGGTGTTATAAGATGACACAGCAAAGTTTTACTTGGCGTGTGACATAGTGGTATGCTATTGAAGCTGCTTGAAAAAAGACAATTTAGGAATCTTATGAGGAAATGGTTAAGAAACCATATACGTACATGAACTGACTCTTGAGTTTCACTTTACTGAATTGGCTAATTGCTCAGCAAATATGCACCATAATGAATGTTCTGAGAATTTCCTAAACCACAAAACTATGGTCTTAAAAAAACACAGCATCAGTTCTCTTATAATTTTCATCTTGCATGATCCTAGAGAATTTAAATTTTCCTAAAGCTGAACTAAAACGTTAGTTTAAATGGTCCCAGTAGTGACCAACATTCTTAAGTTAGGCTAAGTTTACCTCTATTTTAGGTAGTTATAAAATAATTATTTGGAAGAACCTCTGAAAGTTTGCCTACTCTCTATGTAAGATTTATGTGTAAATTAACAACTTTCTTTCAAAAAAATCACTGGAGAAGGCTTTATAATCCTCTCTGGTAGCGCATTCTGGTGCTTAACAACTAATGAAGCTGAAAATATCTTTTTTTATTTTTAACAAGAATTCCTTAAAGAACAGGTCAGTTTAATTCCTATGGTCCTGGCTTTAGTGCAAGGGCAGCTGCTTTCTGTTCTTGATATAATAGTACTTCTCTGTCCAAATACAGGAGAGATCACCTTAGCCTTTTGTCCTTTAAGTTGGATAATTCTAATTTTTTCATTCTCATTGTTTTTAAACTGAATATTTCTTTTGTCCTTGGGCTTCTTTCCAAGTTTTTTGCACTTGCTAACACATCGCTATCCAATGGGATGTAGTAGCCTAGGAAGATTTTTGTTTCTATGAACAATCATGGATGCTTGAAACATGGAGAACAGCAACTCAACTCTTGTAACAAAAATAAGTGTAGAATTTGCTAGACAGTACAAACAATCTTTACTAAAAAAAGTCACTATCAGAGAGTATGCTATGTTGTGGAGAAAGTGCAGGAAAATGAGATGTTGAAAAAAAAGATTCCATGAAGGCCATTCATTTAATTGGGGCTGTATCAGTTAGGATTGCGTAGACGTGAGGTGATAATAAACAATGCAAAATCTCAGTGGCTTAATACAACTGAAGTTTATTTTTTGCGCATGCTCTGAGCAGGCCAGCAGGAAACTACGCTCGTGCTAACACTCAGATTTCCAGGCTGGAGAGGCATGTCGACACTGGTTTCCTTCCATGACCGCTGTGGCAAGAGGCGTGGAACGTGGCAGATTGTACAGGTCTAGAAGTTCCACTTGGGAGTGACTTACATCACTGCCACATTTTATTGGTCCAAATAAGTCATATGGCTATATCTAGCTTCAGAGCAGAGTAGAGAGATGCAATCCTACTCAATAACTACACAAAGAAGGATTTGAATATTTGTAAACAGACAAAATGGCTATCAGAAGGGATAGGTCTTTTAGCTTCATCCCAAATTGGAAGAAAATAAATAAATAAATGTATAATTTTCCTGAATCTTCCATATATAAACATGGTATTGGGTTGTTGGAAAAGCCATGATGTATTTTTTCTATGTTTTTCGTCGCAAAAATGCGTCATGATTTTTCTGACAACCCAATAGATGAAAGACCCATTGTCAGATTTCTTGATTAAAATGATCCGGATGCTATGTTTATATCACTGGTCTTTGGCAGATGAGTCTAAGAAAATTGAATCACACTGATTGTTTTTATTAAAAAATGTGCCAGCTCAGCTGAACATGTCAATTAAAATTACATGCTGTAAAAAGAATATCAACAAGGAATTCTGACCTGTTTCCGATTCCACTGAAAAATAGGGCTGCCCCTGTAGGATGCTATAGACAACTTTAGCACTGTTGCCATAAGTCGGATCATCAGCATCAGTGGCAGTGACTTGGACAACAAATGTGCCTGCAATGACAGAACATGAAGTGAAAATAAATTAAGATCCCATTACAGACCCTCGATGCACGCACATAAAGAGAAAGCCTGACCTCACTTTTGTACAAACCTGTCATGGCAAAGGAGTGGGGAACTTCCATAGTATTCTAGGTTAAAAAGCTCTGGATTCCCTCACGTTGAAGGAACATGATCACCGTTTATGAAAACTATAAGGATTAGGTTAAAGGGAAGCATGGGACGGATCATGACTTTGGGTGGAACTGATTTCAGTTCATCTCCAAAGGTGGGGTTTGATTGGATTCTTGCTATGGTGCTTCTTTCAAGTTATCCAGGCTCAAGTCAACCCAAATCTTGCAAGACTTTGTCCACAGGGACTAGTTTAGGGGTGGTTCAATCAGGGGCCCACTCATGATTTTGCTGGAAATGCTGTGGAAATAAGTGCTCTTTCTCCTGAACTGTAATGTGCTAAAGTGGAACCTGCGGATGCCGTAGCTATTTAGTGACCTGGAAGATGGCAGCCGGAGAACAAAGCTGAAAAGGACAGAAAATTACAGAACAATAGCCAGAACCCAAATCAAACCATGTCTAAAGCCCATTTCACTTTTGGACTTAAGTAATGTGACTGATAAATACTTCCGTTGTTTATAACTAGCTTGAATTGGGTTTTCTGTTACTTGCATATAAAAGCATCCTAAATGATAAATCTATTTGATAATTCTAAGAGGTTGAACAGCCTTGAACCTTAAAAGAGGTAGTTTTGGATTAAATAAAAGATTAATTGAAACAGCAGAGGATACACACATGGAACTTGTAATACCAAAAAATGACTGTAATTAAGTGTACAAAGAAGGCTATGATGTTTTAGATCAGCGCTTGTATTTTAGGGACCATAGTCACCGAATAACCTTCTAAGTACCCCTGACCCCCATAAAACTCCATGCAAAATTTTATGTATATGCCTGCATGTATATTTCACTGATGAGAAGTTTACCATAGATTTTTTTTATCTGGTTCTCAGAGAGGTCTGTGACTTCCAAAAAGGGTAAGACCTTCTGAGATCATTTTATGGCTGACTTTCAGTGTTCAGATTAGATAAATAGTCAGCATACTACTAGAATTCTTCTGTCCGTGAACAGGGCAGGGAAGTTACATTTTGGGAATATTAGACTTTTTGCATTGCTTTTGTAATATCTAACCAGTTCCATTTATTGAGCAAATGTATTGTACTGTGTTAAGGTTAGATGCTAGGATGTGGTATGTTTGTGCATGAGATTGAGTGCGTACCCTTTTAATTTAGCAATGGAATTAGGAAGAATGAGACCATCATATGATTTTAGAGCGAGAGCTAATAGTAGAACTCAACCAACACATTCTTTTTGGACATCAGTACAAAATTCAGTAGCTTTTATATGATGATTGTCTGGATGTTTTGAGCACGTGTTAGCGCCAGATATTATTGTATTGGGGGCTCTGCACTTGCTTTCTCCTTTTGTCGTCATGATAACCCTTACCCTGCTGTTATTTCTTTATGTCATTTCTTTAAGACGCCTTTATCTATCAGAGTAATGACATGTTAATTTATGATCATGATGAATATCAGCATAACTGTGCCTGTGTGCAAATCAGAAAAAAAGCCTTCCTTTTTTCCCCAAATATGTTTCTGTTAGCTACCCCTAAATATTGGTAATATATATTTAATTCTATAATGGTTTCAAAAGTGAATGGTACCCACTCCAGATATAGAGTGACAATTTGCACATACTCTTATGGTTTCCCTGGTGGTGCTGATGAACACCCTTTGTTAATTCTCTCTGTTTTTTTTGTTTGTTTGTTTTTTTACCACCTAGTGGATAAATGTTACTCTTAACAAATCTCCCTCTTAAAAGAATTCTAATCCTCCTCTTTGCTTGGCGATGGTCTGTGATTTTTTTTAACAAAACAAAGTGGCTTCAAGTAATGAGATGAGCAACTTCTTTGTGAGAAAAATTTAGATGTTTTATAATTATATCCATGGATTAGATATTTTCAAAGTCTTGGAACTGTGAACTGAAACAGCTCTGATGTATGACTCACAGAATTATGGAAACATTTTTATTATGTGTTAGCCCTTTTGAATTTGACACTGAGTGAAAATGAAAATAGCCCTTACACAAATAGTTTAAAATTTGTCATTGTCTCCCGTGAAGTGTATTAATGTGGCTAAGAATGATGTCAGCAGGATTTTTTCTTAGTGTAGGTTCTTTTTACCTTCTCCCAATTTAAGCAAATTAAGTATAGACACATAACTTTAAAATTGGTTGTAAAATTGTGCACGAAATAGTAATTCTCCATATTAATGTCATGAAAGTCTCTTAATTTCTACCAATTAGTAAAGGATATATTCCCCTAGACATCCTTTACATATTGTTTATGGATTACCAAAAGGTTTTCTTTGAGTCTCTTCTTCAAATCTACCGTTACTTAAAGCAACCATCATCACTCTTTGGTTTGGGCTGTAAATCCAGGCTTTCTTTTCCAATGGGGAGATCCTTACTAGGAGTTCATTGCAGCCTGGGCTAAGAGAAATAGAGAGGGCTTCTGTTTTTTCAGCCCAGGAAATAGAGTAGGAATTTAGAGTGTGAGAGGAATAGATGAGATGGTGCCTCATTCTTTCTCCCGGTCTCACTCTGCCACTTTTCATACCCCGATCTTTAGAGGAAATGCTGTTTTCTTGAAAATAATAATATCATGAGACTAGAATAATATTGGGAAACATGGGGACCCTTAGAGAAAGGACATATAGATTGTTTGAAATATGATACTTTCAGAATTTGGCATCTAAATTTATTTAACGCAGTAAGTTTCACTCACAGGATTCTTTATTCAGTCAATGATGTACCAGAGGAGAGATAGGTATATGGTTGAAAACACATCTCACTCACCGACATCAGACATCTCGGGAACAGTGGCCGTGTAAACTTCCTTGGTGAAAATTGGCTCATTGTCGTTGATGTCATGGATCTTGATAATGAATTCCGACTCCGGCTCCACAGGCCTCCCTGTCCTTCTGTTTATAGCTTGAGCTCGAAGGATGTAGACGGGTTTTTCTTCCCTGTCCAGCTTCTTGGTGGCTTGTATATCCCCTGTGTTTTCATTGATAATGAAGAGATCTCCTGCTCCATCTCCTGAAAGGATATATTTAAGTGATCCATCTCCTCTATCCTGGTCTGAATGTAACTAGTGTAGGAAAAAAAAATTAAAGAGAGCAAAAGTCAAGCATGTGATCCTAAACCGTGTCTTTCCGATGCATGCATGCTATGTTACCTTTCATTCAATCCCTTCTAAGGGATGCACGATTTCTTCTTTTACGATTGCTTAGATCCTCGATAGTAAATACCACTCATAATGAACATGTTTCCTTTTAATCTAGAAATGTCCAGAACTGGGGCAGAGATTGGAGAAAGTTTAGTAACCCTTACTTTGAAGAATGGAAAACCAAAAGCCAGAGCAAACACAAGATGCCTAAGGACGTATTAGCCTGGCTGGAATGAAACTTTTCATTATTTTCACTACAGCTTTCAGATTCTGTTATACTCATCTACCCTCCTGCTCACTTTTATGTACACAGACACACTAAAGAAGCAACATATTACGGAGAAAAGGATTTGGGTTTTTGAATAAGAGAGCCCTGGGTATGTTTTGCTTCTACACAATACTATCTTGATGAACTTAGGAAAGCTGGTCAGTCTCTTTGAGTCTAATATGTTGGAGATTATAATCAATCATAGATGTGAAATAAATTTATTTATTGATGAAATTCAACTTGAAGCCTTTGAGAACATCTCAAGGGCTGTCATGAACAATGCCTTGAAAACCACCTGACTAGATAATTTACAAAGTTACTTGGAGTAGGAACATTTAACACTTAGATTTTAGCTTACTCTGTGGGAGAGGACCATCTAAAAAGCAGAGCCAGCCTACTATTGCATAGGCTGCCTTATGGAGCAGTGGGTTCCTGCTTCTGAGGGTAATCAGGCAGAGGCTCTGATATGATTGACAGTCAGTGGAGTGGGTCCGGGCAGAGGGTTGCGTGAAATGAATGTGAAGATAACATTGAAGAGGAAGAGGATGATCCTCACTTGGAAAGGAGCCCATGTGGCCTATCCCAAAGATTACTTCCACAGTATTGACTTCCTGCTGTTTCCTCTGTTCCCTGCTCCCCACTTCAGCAAAAGTTTAGGCAGTATCTCATAGGTCTTCCCATCTAGCCCAATTCACAAATTTTCAAAAACTGCTTTTTTATTGAGGAGAACTGTTTTCAAACCCCAGATGTCAGTTTCAGCTGCATACAGACTAGTTAGTTTCAGTGGGAAGGCTGCTAATCTCTAGAATATTTCTGTCTGAACAGAGTACTGGCCAGGTTACAGCAGTTATGGCAACAATAGCAGCAGGTAAACCAACTCTGTGCCCTCTTGATGAATACGGCATGGAATGCTGGGAGTAGTATCTACAAACACATTTGAAAATGGGATTTCAGGGCAAACAGGAACCTTTAAAATAATGTAACCCAGCCTTTCTAAAAGTGTATCCCATGGAATATCATTTATTCAAAATGCTGAGAAAAAACGGTTCTGTAGTCCAATAAATTTGGGAAATACTTCATATTCTTTCTCTTTCTTGGAGTCATCCAGTGCCAATTCATATGAAAGACTTTGAGGGCCTATAGTTCAGAATTGTACTTAACTTGATTTAACTTAGTTTCCTGAACTCTCTTGTGTAAAGCATCCTTTTTGGGGTGAGATCCATATTGATATTCCCCACAACAGTATTCCAAGAAACAAACTTTGGGAAACATGAGTTAATTGAATCCATCATCGCAGAGACAAGAAAGCTGAAGGTCCAGTTTATGTAGTGGTTCCCAAATCACACAGCTCATGGGAAAGAGTCAGATGATTAGAATTTGAGTGGGAGAAGAGGCCTTCTATAGATTATTCAGTGCAGCCTTCTTGTTTTTTAGAGATAGGGAAATGGTGTCCAATGCCATGCAGCTAACGCTGGGTAATAGCAGAGTTTGAGGAAGAGACTATTATTCATACAATTAGTCGCCTTGAAAGCAATTTGACAGAAATCATAGAAGATAAATGCAAATGGGGAGGAAATTGCTTAGAAGTGAGACAAATGCCATAAGAAATGTAAAACGAGAGTACTCCATGGTTTGTGTAATGTGATGTGCTAAGGAAACGCTGAAACCATGATTACACAGAAAGAGCCACTGGGGAAAGTTTAACTCTCCACCGTCAAATTCTAATGACTGAAGAGAGCTCTTAAAAAGCTATTTCATTAACTCATGAGTAACAAACCCAACATTGTGCCCAACTGGTCCTGGCTGTAGAGCAGCCATGGTTAGCAGCCTAGCCCAGTGTGGGGGCACCGCACCCTGAGTCCTAAGTGTAGGCCTTGCTCATTCTTTTTCACTCACCAAATGCAGTATTGTTGCAGTCAGTTAACCTCCCTGGGCCAGGATCCTTATCAGTAATACCAGGATGCTATGAGCTACTGGACAGGGCCGTCAAGATGTAATTAGAGACTATATACATATACTACATTAATCGCTACATAATCGTGATAAAAGCATGAGATGTGTTTTATAAATGGTCAAGCGCCTCCCAAAGTTAAGCTTTTGTTACTGTTATTAGCCCTGAATTCATCATAAGCATGTTTTTGCTCCTATTTTGACTTTGAGAACTTCATTGAGAGGACTTTGAAAACCCAATTTTGCAAACACATGGCATCTCTAAGGTAAAATCTGTTATCAAAAGCCGATATTCTAGAGGTGGCAATTGCTGTTTTTCTGTGTGATTTATTAGTTTCTGCATTCCAATAGATTATAGACTCCCCTTGGCCTGTTCTTTCATCGCTCTCAATATATAATTGTTGCACGCTTAGTAGGTGAATACCACATCTGGTCACAAGATTTATTCAGGTAAATGTAATCAGAAACTTATTTTTAGCTGTCAGGAGAGACCATTTCGATGACTTATAGAACAAACACCCGAGATGATATGAAAGGGCAGCGGAGACACCAACTAAGAGGCTGAACGCGGATTGCTCTGCCTATCTCAATTCTGATTTATCAATATTTGAAAACTAGTGGGAAAATGCACCTCTTCACTCAGGCATTGTATGATAATAAAGCACTTTAACCTCATCCCCCTCCAAATGCAAAGTCTCTGTCTGACAAGTGCATAGAGCAGAAACCTCCAGAAGCTTTTGTGCATTCTTTCCCCATTTTCCTCCCCTTCCTTTGAAGTCCCCTGGGGCCAGTTCTTTTCACTCTTTTGGGGGAAAAGAGGAAACATAAGACGTCAGGGCTAGTGAAAAGGGGTGGTGACAAGCAGACACCAGTGGTTGAGCACTTAGATTTTAATTGGATTTTTCCTTTTGTGATGCCATTTATCATGACCACTGCGAAAGGCAGAAGTTAAACAACAACAAATAAAAGGTTGCAGGCTGCCGGAGGCATGTTTTTACTAATTTCAGTTTAATGTGGCTGTTCCATTAAGTTTAATCATCTGGTTCACTTTCAACGATTCACCATCAAGTAAAAATTATCCACTTCCCTCAGAAAGTCACATCTCATCTGGCGCTGGCAGGACTTTTTACTACTGTACCTATAGCAGTTCGGTTCAGAAAAGAGCTCTTGGTCCTTGTTTGTTTTTCTGTTGATTTATTATTACAAATTTAAGGGCAGCACCGTGACAAATAAATACAGGAATTTGAATTGTAGGTATTTCCCCATGGAGAGTGTCACCAAAGCAGTGCCAGCATCTTTTTACTTGCTACTTGTGCCAACTTTCAACTTGATTTTGACTCCAATTTCAAGGTATAACATTAATTGTACAGATTTTTAGTGGTTTATGCAACTAGCTAATGCCGTCCCATTCCTCTTATTAGCCATCACTGGATCACTATGAGTCAGTAACCAAACTCAATATTCTAAGTATATACTTAGAAAACAAAAGCTTACGTACAAGGCACATATAGGGAAGTACCTACAATAGCATGAAAGTAGGGAAGGAATTATGTGATTTTTTCTTTTTTTTCTAAAATAAAAAATTGGATTGAGGCTCATCTGCTCATAGAGTGTAATGCAAATGTAATGTGGCCCTTTGAGAGATGTAATGCTTGCCAATCTGAGATGTCCCAGGACAGATCAGACAACAGCTGTGGTGAAAAGTTGTCTGACAGAGATTGGGGTGGAGAAACCAGAGTTACAACACAGAGAGAGAACACCTTTGTGTTAAATAGATTGAATGTTATTTAAATACATTAGGAAAATACATCTATAATCAAGTTAGGACTAATTGAAGCTTAAGGGAACGAGATATATATGTATGTTTGTATACATAGATCACACTACATAATGCATGTATATGTAATGCTAATGAGTATACTTAATGTTGTGAAGGCTGTGAATCGCTTGTTGGGTAGAGTTTATGTCAGGGAGAGTTTCAAACTTGCTTGAAGAACATGGCAGGGATTAGAAGTAGATTCTGTTTTAGAGATTATAGGGTTAGGCAGATAAAAATATCTTTTAATAAAATTTTATATTATGTATTTTAATACGCTGTATTTGAATGTTATAGATTTAGCATGAGTTAATTTATTTATATCTGATGATTACTTTACAAATCAAAAACTGAAGGCAGCGTATTATTGTCGCAGGTTGCTGGAACTAGTTAGAAATGCAAATTCTTGGGCCTCACCTACCTCCAGAACCAGAAACTCCAGGGGTGTTGCCCTGCCGTCTGTGTTGTAAGAAACCCTCCAGGTAATTCTGATGAGTGCTCAAGTCTGAGAACTGCTGCCTTAACTAGGACAACCATCATGGATCAAATGAACTTGGGCAAGGGAAAGAAGTGGGTATAAATTCATGCTGTGTGCCAAGCCGTGGCACCTTGGGGAACTTAGTTCATTTCTCCAAGTCTCAGCTTCCTCATCTACATGGTAGAAATAACAATGATACTTAGTTTACAGGTACATTGCTCTGAAAATTAATAAAGTAATGTTTGCAAAATGTTTAACCGAAGGCCTAACTCAGAGAAACACACTTCAGTAAATTACTCTTGCATTATAAACATGAAGTATTCAGAGGGTGGATAGATTTGGGTCTGAATTCTAACTTTCCTATTAATCAACTAAATTAATTAAATCATCTTACTTTTCACTCTGTCACC